TGGTGGGCGCTGAGGTGGAGTAGAAGACTAAATCCAAAATCATAATAAATAAATCCATTGTTACGGTGGTGATGATACCCAAAATCGATCTCTAAGACGTTTTGTTGATGGTGTTAATGAAGGATTTTCATGAATTTTCTAAATTGTATTCAGAGAGAATTTCGTATCATTTCAAATAAATATTAATAAAAACTACATTAATTATGACGATATGCTCGACGAAGAAAATCTTCTAGTAAATTATTTTCATTAGGAAATCGTTTAAATACATTTAAATTTCTTTGTGATATAAGACTTATCCAACTACGCGCAGCTTTATCAATTGTTGTTATTAATTATCAATCGATGGATGAGAGAAATTTAAAAGTATATTAACTATTTTATTCATTGATGATAAATGTAATAAACGAAGGAAAGTCTTGAAGAAATTTTTTCATCTAAATTAAACATTTCTTATACATTAAAAGAAAGAAAATTTGTGTGTATTTTTTCTTGTTCGTATTTACTCGTCGAAGAGAATCAACGTTTTCTTGGTGCACCATTAGCAAGAAAATATGTCTTAAGAACATGTGATAGATTGTCCCATTGATAAGCATATTTTGTTATTGTATCAAGTAATACAAATGTTCATATAACACCATCGATTACTGTTCAATTCGAAAAATCTAATTGAATTGAATTTGCCACGAGAACATCAAATAAAAGAGTTAATTGTTGTTGTTGATTATCTGATATTCCTAATTGAAATAAATTTAGATGAAGAAATAAATTTCTTAAAAAAACAAAGCAAGATCAGATAATTGATCATTATGGGTTTTTTCCATTGGAATTCCCATTTGTTTTTGGTTTAACACCACAAATAGCTTGTTGAATTCGAAGCCATAAGGAAAAAAATCCGTTTTTTATTTTATTCATTGCAACTGATTTCTATAAAGATTGAAAAAAAAAGATTATTTAGAAAGGTGAATATTCATTATTTTGGACTATTATTTTCCTCGAATTTAATGGAATGTGTTACATGTTTTTTTAAAGATAAGTTCATGAGCATGATTTTCGTTTATTTTTTGCGCGAGGGATGAAAGCCTAAGAGAAAGTCTTGCAAAACAAAATTCGAAAAAGCAAGTTCCTGGCTTCCCATCCTTCTTATCGAATATGTCGATTAGAAGATCGAATAAAAAATACCTTCCACAATTCTTTTGCCCGTTTTTTGTGAAACACGATCTCAAAGGAATGTTGATGTAGAAGGATACAAATTTGGAAACTTCCAAACCGTCACAGACATAGCCACGATACTGAAGTTGATTACAAAATTATTTCGGATATTTGACATTCGTTCTCTGTCCACACTCACTGTAACAATCTACAGGAATTGAAAAACTGACACATATGCTGCTCAAATCTTTGATTTATAATATCATAAGCTCTATCGTATTTCACATTTTAATCCTCTAAGGATTGCGCGACACAGCTTTTTTTACTTGACATGTTAAATGACGACGTTTTTTTGCAGTGTTTCCTTCCTCATGTACTATCTTAAATGGCTCTGTCGTCTTCTTTTATTTGTGCCTATGTGTAATACACGATGTTATGTATGAATTTACCAGAACTAAACAGTACGAAGTAAACTTCGATGTTTTTCATAGAAAAATTAGCAACAGAGAGCGAAATCGGTATATTATTAAATAAAGTAATTCGTCTCATTTTGTTGCTCGTACAAGTTATAATCAAAAACAGGTTTTTTCAAGCTTATTGGAGGTAGTACGAGCACTGTTACTACTCTTTTCAGCTAGAAAAACGCCGAAAGCAAACGGGTAAGGACAGCAGATAGTGATTGTTGAGGGTGATTTTATTCCTACGAGGAAAGATTCGTTTGAAAGATTGAAATAGAAGGGACGTCAAAACTGAAGAATTATCACAAGTAAGAAAATATCTTCTCTTCCTAAAATTGTTAATGACACGTTTAATAAGAATATTATTCTCAGATTTTTTAAAAAGAATTGAAGTATATTTCCCGCATTGGTAAATAAAGGTTCGGCTCATGGTGTAGATGTTTCATTATGATAAGAAGAATTTGTTCTTCGAAGTTTGTCAAGATCATATAAATGTTTTCAATCTTGTTCAAACCACGTATATTTCTCAGGCTAAAAATTGCAAAATACATTTTCACAAAAGTTTTTCCATCGTTTTTTCTTTTACTTTATCAAGATAATGATCTAATTGAAATAACATTTATGTTCGTATCGTAACTAAAGAACTTTTTTATTTTGATGGATAAATTTTGAATAAAATAGAAAAGAAAAACATCTTACTGTTTGAATAAGTTCATTATCCGATATTGAATTGATAAGTATATTTGATAAACTTTCATATTGTTCATCTGACATATTACATAATCGTTGTTGGAAATCCATAGAAATTTAATTTAAATTTCGAAGAGAAAAAAACCTTCTGTATTCTTTTTTTATTTTATTAATTGATGTTCAATTAAATTTCTAAATGAAAGAAAATTTTTCTGTTAGAACAAAATCTTTAGAAAAAACCTATTATTAAACGTTCAAGACTCTTTGTTTCATTTGATATTATTTTATTAATTAACTCTAGCTAAATAATATTTTAATTCAAACTACATATAATAAATCAAAGAAAATTTTCCTCGATGATTTCTCTTCATTATTTTTCACAAGTCGTTTATCACATTCATATATTGTCGATTGGTGTTCTTATTGTTCGAGCTTCAGTTAATAATCGTTCATTATTATTTCAAGATAAAGATTTTAGTGAACGACTATTTGCTAATGTTAAACTACGTCGTACTGGTTCAAATGTTCGAATTAAAATATTTGCTTGACGACGTGTCGAACCATTTAAAGTATTAAGAAAACCTATAAAATTCGTTCCATTTGATTTTAATAACATTATTTCATGTGTTGATAAAGATCTTTTTTACGTCGCGACATTTCATACATAACGACCGTATTTTCCACATAGAAGAATTTCTCAATCAAAAAATATGTCATTTACTTAAGAGAGACTTTATGAATCGATCGAGAAAGTCAGTTTTATGAAAAAAATTGACCTATATATTTTTTTTATCAATCGATTTCTCATGGAAAAGTAGGGTTATGAAAAATTTTTTAGGCTTCTACGACGTTTTTTGACTGAGTTATAGGCATTAAAACAGGAAAGGGGTCGGAGAAACGTGAAAAAATAACCATGTTTTTTGTTTTATCTTGTTTCGTCATTATCTCGGTTAATTTTAGTCTGTTTGTGCTGGGCAACATCTCATTCGAAAGAGCACGTAAAACTGTACAAAATGACACATTTTGTTATTTTTTCAAAAAAGGCCTTAATATTAAAAAAAGAATTTTTTCTAAAAAACTTCACATTTGTTTAATCAATTTTTTTTCAATGTAAACCTTTTTTTAGTATGATAAAAGGCCCAGGGGAAACTTTAATATAGTACGTCTTGTAGAGAATTTTGTGCTGTGCAAAATTCTTGTAAATGCTTCGAAAAAAAAA